GTCCCATGTCCTATTGGTTTGGCAACGCGCAATATAAATCAACATTTTAAATGGTAGATTTCACAGTATAATTTTGATATTCAGACAGTCTAGGATTATTGATTTTTATGATTCACTTTTTTTGAAGTACACATAACTCTCGGATTTAAATCCGAAGTTTCCGCATTTATATTAAATCTATTATTGGATATTGTTATTTTAGGTGCTGCGAAACCAACTATAATTGAAAGAATATCAGCTAAATCAGCACCACCAGTCAAAGGTATGTTTTATTTGAAAATATTTCGATTTGTTGATTTTTGCTTGTTTTTGTTTTAGTTGAAAAGACAGAAGAAGAAAAAAAACAAGAAAAAGAAAAAATTAAAAAATATATTCAAGAAAAACGAGAACAAAATGATAAAAAAAAACATGATGATAAAAAAAAGAAAATTATACTAGAAAAAGAACGAAAAGATAATTTAAAAAAATTATATGAAGAAACTAAAAAAGTTTCTCAACAACCTTTACCTCCATCATTAATTAAAAAATCAGCTACAACAGTATGTTTTCAATAAAATTTTTCTTTTTCAAAAAACAAACATTTTTATCTATAGACATTAACAAATGATATAACTGAACAAAGACGTGAACGACTTATTAGTCTACTCGGTCCAAGACCATTTCCACCAACGGAATATCATAATAATACACCTTTTGAACGATCTTCATTACATGAACGTTCATCATCATCATCATCATCATCATCGAGTTCTGAATCAGTTATTGAAATTCAACCACGAAAATTGTATGATTTATTATCAAAGATTTTCTTTGTGTAATTTTTCTTTGTAGAAATGATAAACTAATAATTCGTTCACATTCGGAACCACCTATTGAAAATGGTAATTAATAAAATAATATTTTTTCGATTTTGTATTTTTTGTCTATTTCAAGGTTTTACCAATGATGTTAAACAACGACATCAAAATATACTTCGATGGGCTAATAATTTAACACGAGATTGTGATGCGATTGAAAATAAATTGAAATATTTTCGACCAGGTAAAGAAAAAAGAAAAAACAGTATACTAAAATAGTTACTCGATATTAGATTTTGCTATTAGTTTCCGTTTTTTTTGTGTACTCAAAAAGTGAGTACACTCTAGAATCGGTCAGTTTGTCCGTCCGGCCGTTAACACGATAACTTTTGAAAGGAGAGTCCAATCGCGATGAAATTTTCTACACAGTTCAGTCTTAACAATGTCTCGGTCGAGTTCGAAGATGAGCAGGATTCATCAAGAAATGGCTGAGTTATCGAAAAAATATTATTTTATTAAT